TTTCCATATCTGCTGGGTTACCTCGGCTGTGAACTGAGTACCTTGGTCGGACAGAACCTCCTTGGGAAAGCCCACTCGGGAGAATATCCTGACTAGCGCATCTGCCACCGTCTCAGCCTGTATGTTAGAAAGGGCCACAGCTTTGGGGTAACGGGTGGCGTAATCTACCACTGTGAGGATATAACGTTTGCCGGAACGGCTAGGTTGGGCCAGGGGTGCTATGATGTCCACGGCTACCCTCGTGAACGGTTCTTCAATTATGGGCATGGAGACCAGTTTAGCCTTTGGGTAGTCTCCCTTTTTACCTATGCGTTGACATATCTCGCACGTCTGGCAATACGCCCGGACGTCGTCTTATACCCCAGGCCAGAAAAAGTTCTGGGTTACCTGATATCCCATCCTGCGTATTCCCAAGTGTCCTGCCAGAGGAACATCGTGCCCAATTCTCAATTACTCCCGCCGGTATTTCCGTGGAACTACCAGCTGACATTTTTGCCTAGGCCCAGGTGCATTAACCCGTGTCTCGGTGAGCCTGTACAAGCGGCTTTTTTCCCAGATAAACTGCTCCTTCTCCAACCCCCCCTCTCCCCTCCTGGCTTTCTCTCGATACTTTCTGAGGGAAGGGTCTCTGGTCACCTCCCACCCAAAGTCTTCTGGGGTGTCCCAGGGTAGGGGTTCTATAGTCAGGGGTAGGTCGGGTTGGCTTACCTGGGTCTCAGTAGGAAGTGGATGGCTCTCGGCAGCACGACTTTGTGCTCTGGTGGTTACTGCGTGGGCCTCCTGAGCGGTGGTTGAGGCGAACGCCGAAGTCAGGGGTCCAATGTCATTGCCCAACACGACTTCAGAGGGTAAGTCTTTCATTACGCCCACGTGAACATTGCCAGCTCCCGCACCCCAGTCCAGGTGTACTTGTGCGTTAGGAATGCAATGCACTGCCCCCACTGCCACTCTCACAGCAATTGACTTCCCCGGTATCTCCGATGTGTTAATGAGATGTTGTTGTACTAGCGTGATGGTCGCACCACTGTCTCTTAATCCCCGTGCTGTCTTGCCAATAACCATGACCAGTTGACAATGGTGTTTCCGATTGTCTGTGATGGTGGAATGTACCATGAGGGCTTTGTAAAGGGTGCCCAATGGTTCTTCCTGACCCAGCTCCTTGGGATCCCAAGTCGAGTCTACACAATGGGCTGCTGCTGGTGGTTAGTGGTACCCAGGTCGAGACCAATTTGACCTGGTGTTGCTGTCCAAGGGGTAATTCTGTTGGATGTGACCCAGCTGTTTGCACCGGAAGCAACGTAGCTCGCTGTCATCCTGTCGTGGATAGCGAGAGTTAGAAGTCACCGGTCAGTTAGGAGGTTGGTATCTGGCTGCTGGTGGGTGTGATGGCACCGTTGATCGTGGAGGCTGCACCCGTGGTGCGACCTGGTTAGTCTTGCGAGTATCCGCATACTCATCCACCAACTTGGCGGCCTCTGGTAGAGACAGGGGCTTGCAGTCTCTCACCCAGTCTTTGACATCTGCCTGGATATGGTTGTAAAACTGTTCCAGGAGTATCAGTTGCAAAATATCCTCCGCGGTGGTGGCCTGGCTACTGTTAACCCAGTTAGAGGCCGACAGGGATAACTGGCATGCACATTCCACGTAAGAGTCTTTAGCGGTTTTGCGTGAGTCCCTGAACTTCTGTCGGTAGGACTCTGGGGTTACTGCATAACGAGCCAGGAGCGCTTCTTTAACCCTGGCGTAGCTATGGATCTCCTGTTCTGGGACAGCCCGGAAAGCATCAGAGGCTTTGCCTGACAGCTTTCCTGACAATATCAAAACCCATTCTTCCTTAGCTACTCGGTGCAGGTTACACTGTCGCTCAAAATCTGCTAAATAATTATCAATCTCAGTTTTTTTCGTCAAAAGCTTTAAAAGCGCTGAACGGAATTCTTCTTGTATCCGCTGTGTTGTACTCACTGTTTGGGGAGTGTGCTGCTGCCTGCTGGACCGTTGCCAATTTTAATTGTAGATCTGCCTCTCTTTTTTGTTTAGCCTCCTCCGCTACAAGGTTCATTACTTTCAGAACAATGTCAGCCGTTGGGTTCGGACTGAACCATGCTAGTTTCTCCCTCATCTCTTTGTTGGCTGGTGATTCCTCCTCCTGAATCACTGGTGTCTCCATCTCCTGCACAGCTGGCATTGCTGCAACCAAGTTCTCTCGGTCTAGCTCCATGTGGCAAACCTAGCCACTTGGACATTATTTAAGTACTGTCGCTTTAAGGGTTGCCTGTAGGATTTTCGTGATATGTGTGTTCCAGAGTATAATGTACTGTGAATTGTGTAACACTGTATTGCCTGCATTGGCTATCTGCTGAAAGCAGATAGCTGATTTCCTTTCATTTCACGAACGGCACCTTTGCGGGCTGTTCGTGAACCGAATGAACTATCATTTAATAGCCCACACACTAAGAGACGTGTGGCGCTTGTTAACCGATTGCAACAGTGTTGCAATCTGTAATTAGAGGCTCTCCAAGGTGGCCGTCGTTCGACTACCGACCATGCGGCGGATCCTTTGTTCCCTCAGCGGTGTTTGGTCGTCGAGCGCATGGTACTAAAAACGGCTACTCGACGGCGCGAACACCGCTGAGCTTCCAGGCAGTTCGGGAGTCCCGGGCCGTTCGGTATTTGGTTCCCTGGAAGTCAATCGGTATTTTGAGCCTGTGTTTTCATGAATGTGTTTTTCGTGCGGCGTTCGGTTGGTTTAGCTGGGATCTGAGCGGTAATCTCACGAATGATGCGCTCAGACCCCAGCTATCTACCGAACGTCGATTCGTTTAAATGAACCGTATATTCAAACAGTTATGGATTTTAATATAAATTGTCGGTTCCGCTGCACGGAGGGATAATCCACTTAACGGTACATTCCTGTGGGAGGATCCCTCTCGTGCAGCAGTGCCTGATGGGAGAAATACTCTGTACTGTAAGTCCCCCATGTAGTCCCCTCTGGGAATGCCCCTGGGAGGGGACTCAGGAAACCCCTTGCATGGGGACTTGTTTAAATTGTGGAGCTGAAAATAAAGACCTCAGTTGACTCTCAGAACTGTGTTTCGTCCGGTTACTGGGAGATTTGGGATATTGCCTTGCTTTTTCCAGCGCTTAACTGTGGATTACTTCCTGAACCAGCGGAATTCGTGGATTTAATATTGGCGTTCCGCTACACTCCATTAACTCTGCTATAATGACCCGCTTGGTTTTGTTGCTAGGAATCCTTCCAACGAGCTTCCAGTAGTTCTTTCAGTGTATTTCTGTTCCCAGTGTCTGCTTGGAATCCTGGTGTAAAGGAAAGTAGAAGGGAAAATCCCGCCGCTGCCAACCAGTTGTGACGGTAGTATAAGGTATCACTGTCAAGCATTCCCTTCTTCCCATAAAAGAAAATCACCCAATATTCCACACGTAGAAATATCCCTGGAATCGCCGAATAATCCACACATGAGCCAAAGCTTAATGCTGGAACAAGACTAATTTACTGGCACACAAAACTCCTCCTCTGGGCCAGGCTAGATAATTGAGTTTCTACAATACACAAAGCTCAATTATCTGCTGGCCAGAAATATTACAGTTTTTAACAATTTCAGAAAAGTACTTTCTATGCAACATACAAACATAATTTCAACATCCCTGGGTAGCTGAGGATACTGGTAGTCATATATCCAAATCTCACGAATTTCTGTTTGGTAGTTTCCGTGTCGCATCGTGTGGAAGTTTGACCGGCTCGCCATGTGGAGGTATCCGATCTAGAGTTCCATAGAATCAGTAGCAAGAGCCGGTCTCCGTTCGCATCTAACTACACGAAAACCACCATTTCGTATGGTGCAGCTGGTTACATGTGAATGTTCCCCTCATTCGGTAGATTCTATCTACCGAACGCCAGTTTGATTCGTGGAGGGGAACGTATTCATCCAGGACTTCCATGGGGACCGGGCGTTCGCATGTTTGCCCTGCCGAAATTAGTTCCAGGCAATTCATGCGTAAGCCCCGCTGACCGAATTCGTGAGTTTTAAGCCGCCATCCTTTGTTCTCGCCACGTGTTCGTATGTCGAATGGCGGCCACCTAGTAGCAATTAAGTCGCGGTTTTCTCTGCGTTCTAATGCTGATTGCTACCCAGGGTGTGTGGTCTCCGTTCGGTAAACGAATACATTCATTCCATACATATTGAAACAAACTGATACAGGCATTTAAACAGCAGGGAGAAGGTTTAACTGAAGGCACACAGGTAAATACATGAAAATCCTTCACACAGAGCTCTACTACTGTCTCAACTACAGAACACCAATACATATAAAAAACTACCGGGAGATCCCACAATTCCGATCATTAAGCATGTATCCTCGATAATACAAAGAGGCCTTGAAGCCAACTACCTCTCCATGGAACTACAAAAAGCTTTAATCCAACCAACACCGAGAACACCTATCATTTGCACCCTACCCAAAATCCACAAGAGTATGGACCACCCTCCAGGTAGGCTTATAGTCTCAGCCATTGGGGGGGTCCTTGAACCACTGGCAAAATGGCTAGATTTTCTATTTAAGAATACAGTGGAAATGTTACCAATCAGTGCATAAAGGATACTCCTTGTCTATTGAAACTCCTGCATCAAATCATACTTCCAGATGAGACTACCTACCTGGTGACATGTGACATCAAACGTCTCTACACCATAATCCCACATGAAGCTGGTATTGAAGCAATGTGCAAAGTACTACAAAATTCCACAGTATTCAAAGCCCCCCCCCATAGAATTTGTAATGGAAATCCTGAGGATCGTTCTAACTTCCAACTACTTCAGGTTTGAATCAAGTCCTTCACCTGGTACCAACATACATCAGGCACTTCCATACAGCTTGGGGACAACATGCATAAAGAGGATGATATGGTCAAAATACTCATTTGCTGCACTCCCTGTATGTTTGTATTTGAGTCCCTACACATCCTACAACCTTTTGCTGCAAATATGATCTTCTATCGTCCATTCATCGATGATGTGTTTATAATATGGAGAGGGGACTTGGAGTCAATCACATCTATGGTAAATTTGATTAATGAAGCACCCACACCGATCAAACTCACAATGACAGCAAGCCCCACAGAAGTCGACTTCCTCGACGTCCACATCTACAAGAACCAGTCCAAACTAGCATACACCCTCTATACCAAACCAACAGATAGAAATACAGTACTCAAAGCAGACAGTTTCCATCTGAAACCATTCAAGGAATCACTACCACTCTCCCAAATTATGAGGGTAGTGCCCAACAATTCTGATCCTGTGAATACCCAAAAACAGATCAAAGAGATGTGGACCTAATTCAGAGATAGAGGCTATAAAGAATCAACCCTACAACAAGCACTGATTAAAAGTCAAGAGCCAGCACGACAGAATACCAAAAATAACCACATACCAAACATCATCCAACAGTCTACAAAATGCACTAAGGTCCAACTGGCGCATCGTTGAACATGACCCAAGCCTACCAGAGGTCTTCCACAATCCCCCCATGTGTTATAAAAGAGGGAAGAACCTGAAGGATCTTCTGGTGAAAATGGATCCAGTGCACTGTTACACCAAGGAACAGACATCTGTTCACTGGGGCTGCTACCTCTGTCTGGGCTGTGTCACCTGTAGTCACATGTCACCAGGTAAATACTTCACTCACCCTCATTCAGGGAAGAGATACCCTATCAAACATAGACTCACTTGCACTACAGATTTTGTAATCTACAAGCTGCTGTGTCCCTGTGGACTGTCCTATATAGGAAAGACAGATCTCCCCATAAGAGAACGCATAAGGAACCATTGTTCTAATATCCGCATAGTCTATAGGGACAATAAGGCTGACCTCCCTGTGGTCAAACATTTTTTGGCATTTGGACACCCCCTTCCAACGTTGAAGTTTATGGCTATAGACCACATCACCCCCCTTCGCAGAGGAGGAGATAGTAAGAAACTTTTACTACAAGGGGAAGTCTATTGGATTAAAACTTTGAATACTGTCCACTCTAAGGGTCTCAATGAAAAATGTGCCTTATCAGTATTTTTAGGATAATTCCTCTGTCTATACTTAACATCTGCTACTTATCTCTGGTGTGCTAAACGTTAATGTGACACAACACTTCCAGTATATTAATTGTTGCTACATGTGTTAGCCACTGTATTGACAATACCCTGTCATTATGTGTCCAGCTCAATATACCTAATATGTACAATTAAATCATGTTACATAGTTACTATTTTCAAAGGGTTACTTCATTGCACTGTCACTATGTATCGTCTTGCACCAACTCTTTCCTATTGCTATTACCCTGTGATAGCTATTCTGTTGAGGGTATGTTGTCTTAGCACTAAAACCTTATTGCCACTTAAAACCAGTGCCAGTACAAGCTATTACTATAAGGTTGAATGTACTCTGTCTCTACTCCCACCAAGCCCTTCCCTTAAACTTGTAGATAAGATGCATTCTAACTATCAGTCTATTATACTAATAATTTGTTAGCTTTGCGACTCACCATCTTGTCCTGCGAGTATTTGTTTTTAGTAATTCACTGCTTAGTAACTTTCTTTTTTTACAAGATTTTTTACACTACTGAATCAAGTACCTGGGCAACACCGCTGGCTAAGGATGATGAGAGTTAAAGTTCTGTTTGTAATTATGGTAGTCTCAAACCATGCATACCGGATATTGCCAGGCAAATGGTTGGAACACAAACACTCCCCTCCCCCCTTCCCTCTGAGCCCCAATTATGTAGATACAAGGGCAAAGTGGGAGTCAGCCATGGCCAGCTGTGCTACATTCGAACACTGATTCAGTAAATACACTCCAGTGGTGCATATTTGTAATCTACAAGCTGCTGTGTCCCTGTGGACTGTGTTTTTAGTAGATTCTCCTGCTTAGAAACGCACAAGGCATTGTTTAACACAACTGCAGTACCCTATAGCAACACCGCTGGCTATGACCTGACCCTGTGGCCAAACACTTTTTGGCATTTGGACACCCCCTTCCAACGTTGAAGTTTATGGCTATAGACCACATCCCCCTTCGCAGAGGAGGAGATCGTAAGAAACTTTTACTTCAACGGGAAGTCTATTGGATTAAAACTTTGAATACTGTCCACCCTAAGGGTCTCAATGAAAAATGTGCCTTATCAGTATTTTTAGGATAATTCCTCTATGTCTATACTTAGCATCTGCTACTTGTGTCTGGTGTGCTAAACTTTAATGTGACAACACTTCCAGTATATTAATTGTTGCTACATGTGTTAGCTACTGTATTGACAATACCCTGTCATTATGTGTCCAGCTCAATATACCTAATATGTACAATTAAATCATGTTACTATTTTCAAATAGTTACTTAATTGCACTGTCACTATGTGTCAAGTCTTGCACCAACTCATTCCTATTGCTATTACCCTGTGATACCTATTCTGTTGAGGGTATGTTGTCTTAGCACTAAAACCTTATTGCCACTTACAGTGCCAGTACAAGCTATTACTATAAGGTTGACGGTACTCTGTCGCTACTCCCACCAAGCTCTTCTCTTAAACTTGTAGATAAGATGCATTCTAACTATCAGTCTATTATGCTAATAATTTGTTAGCTTTGTGACTCACCATCTTGTCCTGCGAGTATTTGTTTTTAGTAATTCACTGCTTAGTAACTTTCTTTTTATACAAGCTTTTTTACACAACTGAATCAAGTACCCGGGCAACACCGCTGGCTAAGGATGATGAGAGTTAAAGTTCTGTTTGTAATCATGGTAACCTCAAACCATGCATACTGGATATTGCCAGGCAAATGGTTGGAACACAAACACTCCCCTCACCCCTTCCCTCTGAGCCCCAATTATGCAGATACAAGGGCAGAGTGGAGTAAGCCATGGCCAGCTGTGTTACATCCGGACACTGATTCAGTAAATACACTGCAGTGGTGCATATTTAATTTAATTTGATTGTTCAGTTTGTTTTGGAGGGATCTGGGGTATATATTGTCTTGTCTGCACATTTGTTACATGTTACCTGTCCTGATGAAAGCTCCATGTTGGCGCTGAAACGTTGATATTTTATTTGGAATAAATAAAAGCTAAATTATACTACTTCAATCAAGTCCCAGGAGTGCGATTGTTTCTACACCGATATCTACCTTTGCCACAACCAGCACCGGGCACTACAAAAGTCTTCTTGGAGTGCAATCTACTATGATATATATATATATATATATATATATATATATAATATCATTATATATATATATATGCACTGTTTTATTTGTGTTTTATTTGTGTATAAATCATATATATATATATACCCCTCCAAAGAAAAGTCAGCACTTGAGAACTTGAAAAATAAAGTAAGGTTTATTCCAATGATAACCTCAGCTTACAATCCGGTGGTCGGTCAATGTTTCAGTTCTTTACATTAGAACTCTCATCAGGACATAGGATTATGTCCTGATGAAAGTTCTAATGTAAAGAACTGAAATGTTGACCGACCACCGGATTGTAAGCTGAGTTCTCAAACTAAAACCCTTATGGACCAGTATCACAGCATTGATCTCCAGAGTACTAGACAAACCATGCCCATTAGATCACTGGACATTACTGCTCTCCAAACCCCTGGACACATTTACAAGAGCAGAAAACAAGGTAACCGCACGCGTAGTGCTGGCAACCCAACAAGCGATAGCAGAACTATGGTCAACACTACAAATACCCTCACAAGCTACCATTGCATGAAAATGGATAGCCTGACTTCTTATCTACACCCCCAAACAGTTCCACAAAATCTGGGACCCATGATTAAGTGGAGACACAGCCATCCCCTGGTGAGAAGAACAAACCTAACCAAACTAGAAATACAAACCTCCCACAGGTAAACACGGATATAACACTGGGTGACACATATACAATAAGCACGTAACCCACAAACCTCCCACTCCTAACCCCTCCCCACCCTTACCCCTTCCCTGGCAATCTAACCTGAGGGACAGAGAGGGTCCCTGGAGGCTGGGCAATACATCCAACCTCTTAATTCTTTTCTTTTCTCTCAACTCCCCTCTCTTCCTTTTACTATGCACAGGACATGCATAACCTAGCTCAGACAAACAGCCCACCGACCCGGGACTCGACAACAACCAGTGGCACCTTAGAACTGATGACACATACAAACGGAACATTCCCTGTGCAAAACATACCACACTAAAGGGACCACAACTGTGAACCAACAGCTGCTAGGGCGCACCTTGGCTCAGGCAAACCATAGACAGCATGCAACAAACCAACTCTGTACTACACCAAATGTCCCACGGGATTGCCTAGACACTCACCACAAGCTTTCTAACACAGACCCTCGAGAAATCCCATGGTGATCCTAGAGCCACAGGCACAACTAGCACAAGGGCCATGGGAAAAAACCCAATTGCACAGTACACTCAAACACTGGTATGCCGAACTAATTGTGTGTTACCATGTGTCTCTGTGTATCTACTTCTGACTTTTCGACTCCTGTTTTACACTTAAAATTTATTAAGGTGCATAAAACAAAAATACAAATAAAGAAATGAAAAAAAATGTGTCTCTGTCATCTCATTAAAAAGATAGAATGCTTATGAAATATTCACATTAACCAAGTTGAAATGTAATTTATATTCTAATACAGTCAAAAGATATCATAAGACAAAGTAAGGATGATGTAATCTTATGGTAAAGCAAAATGCTTACATAACTTGACAAAAGATGAAGTAAATCATAGATCACAAAACTTAGTCCATGAAGCCTCCCACAGTCTTGCAGAATCCTCAATGGACATCAGTGTTTTACTCTCACACATACACAAGAGTACAGCACCAATGAGACTCCTGGAGGATGAAGCACCCAGAGATGAAGACATAAAGAGCGGTGCTCAAGGAGGACAATTTTACATCCAGGTCCATCACCCCAAATGAGGAATTAACCTTTGAATATGCATATTTTTACATAATTAGGTATTTTAATTAATTACAATTAGCGGGACCTGCCTGACAACCCATGCCAAAAGTATAGGAAATTTAATTTGCTAGCACTATATTTAACCCTATAACTTTCCAAGACACAATAAAACCTGTACCTGGGGGGTACTGTTTTACTTGGGAGACTTTGCCGAACACAAATATTTGTGTTTCAAAACAGTAAAAAGTATCACAGCAATAATATCGTCCGTGTAAGTCCTGTTTGCGTGTGAAAAATGCAAAAAACGTCACTTTTACTGGCGATATCATCGTTGTAATACATTTTACTGTTTTGAAACACTAATATTTGTGTTCAGCGAAGTCTC